TACTAAAGCCGTGTTCGTTGTTATGACAGGTTTTGATAATGCCAAACCGCCGTGAACGAGACAAGTCATTGAATATACAAGGCGAGAACCAAAGATGAGAAGAAAGAGAACAAGGGCCAAAAGAAGACCAAGAACGAAGACCGTAGTCTTAGTGTCGTTGAGTCGGTCACAATTGTGATCAAGACCGACCCAATCTTTACACCTTGGCTCTTTAGGCTAAAATTCTTTTCATTGCATTTCACATCATAAAAATGTTTTTCAAACATGTTTAAAACATTTAAAACACTTGGTGTTCGCCCAAACAAAAAACCAAGCCATCCGGCGTTCGGGTTTCAGAAACCGGCGTTCGGCATTCGGTTTTCGGCATTGGTTTTTGGCGTCCGAACTAACCAAGTGGTTTTCAACTTTTTATGATTGGTTTTTACTTCTGGGCACATTTAAACAATTTTCCATCAAAAACACTTCAAAAACCACATTTCATTTTTTGTCGTTTGAGAAAAACCATGCGAAACGGCATAAACTTAGCTAGCCGCGGTTTTTACTTAAATGAAGTGGTTTTCGAATCTTTTTGTGTGGGATTTTTTTTAATGAATTTAAATGGTTCTCCAATCAAAACATCATGAAAACCACCTTTCGGTTTTGTCTTTTGGTGAAAACCACCCGTGTACGGTGTTGACTTGGTCAACCGTGGTTTTTACCTTAATGACGTGGTTTTCAACTTAAAAAGCTTGTTTTGAGATCACAATAAATTAAATAAGTGTTTTATATACTTAGTTTTTACTTTGGAGAACTTTGCATTTTTCAATCGGGTTTCAGCGCCGGTCAGCTAGGCCATGGTTCTGGGCTAGCCATCTACCCAGCGATGGTAGATATCACCCATCCATGGGTAAGTGATCCCGGAATTCCAGAATCATTCCACCCAGCGATGGGTAAACAGCCTTCAACCCAATTGAATTCCAGAACCATGCCAAACAGCGATGGGAAGTTCTACCCATCGCTGTTAAAGCCTTGGTGCAACATTAACACAAGGCAAAACAACATTGTCCAGCGATGGGAAACCTATCCCATCAATGGTAAGGATAAACCATCGATGGGAAGGCATGACCATTGGAAGTCATTTAAGGTTGATTCTTTCCTTGTTTGGAAGTCAACCTCCCACCCAGCGATGGGAAGCTTGTACCCATCGATGGGTAGGTAACTGTTGGCTTCAAAACTGAAGGAAAATTGGCTTACTAGGGATGGGTAAGTTCCAAACATCGATGGGAAGCCAATATCCTGCAGATCCCAAATTTATTCAATCCCATAAATCAAGCCAATCACCCCTTTAATGTATTGGTCCGTTGGAGCCTACTTTGGAACTATAAAAAGGGGTGTTTGGGTCTGCTTTTCTCATCAATTCACTTCACAATATTCATATTATCATTGCATTCAAACAACATCATTTTTCATAGCTTTCTAGAGCCAATTTGTGAAGTTTGAGTTGTTCTTGAGCGTATATAGTTTACTCAACATCTACTCTAAAAGAGAGCCTTGTTCTTGAGTGTCTTAGTGTTGTATACACGTTAAGGGAAGCTT